GTATCAGAGAAATCAAAGAATGGAAGGTTTCCATGAGAAGTAACCACAGATGCAGTAGCAATCCAGGAATAAAGAAAATGAAATTATCCTTGATTTTATTACTCACTACTCAAGTGAATCCCTGGTTAATCTTCCTTACTTTAGCAAAAGTAATTTGCACTGCTAACTCCATCATGGATTATACTGGGATTTGTTCAAGTTTCTAGGAATCCAAGCTTATTAGGTATCAAATGTCTTTCTAAATATTTTCTTTGACAGCCTATTTTGCTGAAGCTTATTTAGTGGATAGGACTTATCTGCTAAAGCTCTTCAGGCCAACAATACAGACACCTTATTTGGTGCACCAATGACTCCCGGTCAGCTCCATTTTCTCTGACACCTTCTTTGTTTATCTTGGGTGAAAAGAAAAGACATGGATATTTATCATACCTCTTACTTTGCCATAAATTGCATCATTTAATCTTCATATCTTTTATCAAATTACAAATAAGGGAACTGACTCAGGCAGAATAGCTGACTTTCCCAAAGGATTAGGCAGTAAGTAGTACAGTTAGAATTTCAATTTGGGCTGAACGCCATGTCATTCTCACTATTGGTTGGGCTCTGAGTGATCCGGCAAAGTGAAACTTCTTGGAACAGTAGACCGCCATGAATCTGTGCCCTTAATGGTCCTTTCAACACCTTTTGTAGCTGGTATTTGTATTATTTCTAATTTTAGAACAATGATAACATTTACACATTAATCACTTCCCTGGCCTTGTCCCATAACAACCACACACCTAAGATTGGATAATAAGATTCCTTGATAGTGGTTGGCCTTAAAAATATCAGTTCATGAGAACATTATTTAAAAAGACTTTTAAAAAGAAAATATAAAGATTTTTAGCAGTAATATAAAGTGATAGCTAGGGGCCAGGGATTTAGCTCAGTGGTTCCATCGCCTGCTTCTTAAGTGCAAGGACCCAAGTTCGACCCCTGGTACCCCCCCAAAAAATATATATAAAGTGATATCTCTGTACATCTATACAAAACATAAAAACAAATTTCTGAGTGTGGTGGTGCACATCTATAACTTCAGCAACCATGAGGCTAAGGCTGGAGAATCATGAGGCCAGCCTAGGCTATATAAGTTCAAGGCCATCCTGAAGTACATAAGACGACCCTGTCTTGAAAAACCAAAATAATAAGAACAATCATAACAACAAAAATCACTTGCAGAAAGATCATCTTCAAGTAATAAAAATGATTAGGTTAATTTCAAATAATTTGTATGTGTGTGTGTGTGTATGTCTCTGTGTTGCTAGGAATAAAACCCAGGTATTATGCTGGATAAGCACTCTACCAATGAGCTACAACCCCAGTCCTTTTTATTTTTTTATTTTGAGACAGAGCCTTACTAAACTGTCCAAGCTTCCTCAAACTTTGTATTCTCCTGCCGCAGCCTGCGAAGTAGCTAGGATTGCAGGTGTGTGCTACTGTGCCTGGCTCACGTCACCATTTTTGCCACTAGCCTGAACCAATGAGCTAAAGTATGAGAAATATAAGGTGGTGCTAAGATCCAGCTACACTTTTGTTGATTTTTCTATTTTTAAAATTACATAGATTACAAAGAAAACTATTTCCAGTGTGAAAAAAAACCAACAGTGTAGGATTCTACACAGCAACTCCCCTTATATATATATTACATAATTTCTCTACAAATACACAGGATCCTATAATACATCTGGCCCTATTACTTTTTAAAATACCTTTATTTTTATGTAATTCACATATTATAAAATTCACCCATTTAAAGTACACAAAATCAATGGTTTTAGTATATTTACATGTATGTTCAATCATTTCCACAGTGAAGTCTGGAACATTTTCATTACCTCAAAAAGAAATCCTATTCTCTTTGGCTGTCACACTCATATCCTCCCAATCTTCCAAACCATAAGCAAACACTAGTCTACCTTGTATCTCTGTATATTTTCCTATTCTGGGTATTTTATACAAATGGAATCAGAAATTGTGGAATTCTGTGACTAGCCTCTTACACTTTGAATAATGTTTTCGATATTCATTCTTTGGTAGCATGTATCATACTTCATTTTAAGAATATAGTTGAATCATATACCATTGTATGAATATACTACATTCTTCATGTAACTTATTTTCATTTATCACCTATATTTTTCCCTTCAATACCTACAGACCCATCTCACTCTTTTGTAGTGAATGCAGAGTACTGTACACTTCTGATACAACATAATCCATATAACTTTCTCTAGTGATGAATATTTAAGCATTTCCAATGTCTCCTCACTGTAACAATAATTTGTAATCTACATAATGTACATATAAAGAAAAAAGGCCTATTTCTGTTGGTGGAAGAATGTCCTTGCCTCCAAATTAGTGGTTTAAAGTACAATGGGGCCTTCTTGGGCTGTGTAGCTTCTTTATTTGTGAATTCAACCATTTTCAGATGTAAAATGTAGTTAAATCTACTGTGATTGCATTTATAAAAAACATGTACAAACATTGTTCTTGTCATTATTCCTAAACAATATGGTGTAATAACCATATAGCACTTACATTGTATATTAGCTATAATAAGTAATCTAGACGTGATTTAAAGTATGCAAGATTTGCATAAGTCATATGCAAATACTATGCCATTTTATGTAAGGCTTTTGAGCATCTGCAGACTTTGGTATCTATGTGGAATCCTAGAACTTATCCTCTATGGATGTTAAGAGATCACGGTATGTTTTCTGAATGTAAACCATCATTTGGCAATTTGCTAGAAATGCAAATCCTTGTGCACTAACCCAGAACATTTGATTCACAAATGCTGTGTTAGAGCTCATTGGATTTGGGTTTTTTTGGGGGGGGGCTTGTTTTGTTTGTTTTTATTTTTCAAGACAACGTTTTGATATATAGTTTAGGCTTGCATTGAACTCATTATGAAGCCCAGACTGGCCTTGAACTCATGGTGACCCTCCTGCCTCAGTCTCCCAAGTGCCAGAACTCACTGTTTTAAAAAGTTCTTCTTGTGATTCTAGCCTGCACTAAAATTTCAGAATTGCTGCTATAAATCACGCATTGTACTACAATGGCTACTGTCAGTTGGTTTACATTTTAAAAGTCAGCAGGACCACAATAATTGACTTGAACATGTGATTATGCATATACATAGGATGTAAGTATAGTGGAGATAAGGCTTTTATTTTGTCTACTATTTTAATTTTTCTTTAGCAAGAGTGTATTAATATACCAAAACACTTCTTAATCTCATGCCTTTCGTATCTGGTTAGTCCCTTTTTCTCTCCTCCCATTCCCTTGAAAACCAATATTTACACCATTTATGCAGCACATTTCTGTTGATGATGCTCACAGGACAATAAAACTTAGAACTTAGTTCCCATTAGAAATAGGGATATTAGGAAGTGGGGTTTCACTGGACTCACAGATTGGAACTTGAAGGGAATATAAGGATATCCTACTCAAGAGTCACATTTTGGAGATAAAGAAAACAAAACCCAAAGAAATTATAACAAAAATTCCATCAAAATTACCAAGGCACATCAAATATAAACTTTGTTCATCATTATACTACATATTATTCTATTTTAATGGTTCTTGACCAGGAAAGTACATGAACTCCACCTGGGGATATTTTATTTAAAAATACATTTAGAAAGATCATTTTATCATACTAAACAAAGAAGACTGATATAATTTAACTATATCTAAAGCATTTATGAAATGTAGTATTACATTGTATGAACGTGTACAATAGTCAAAAGGACTTCGGATGTTAATTCCTATGCTAAATAGCTCCAGAATGCTATGTTTTACACTCTTTGGATTTCTGTTCTCTACTTTCGTGTCAGTTATTATTTCTTACACCTATTGGTCTGCATTTAACAGTATTCACCCTTACTCCCACACCTACTATTGCCAATGTAAATTGATCAAATAAACTAATTTGATCTTTAGAATTGAATAAATGTGATGTTTACAACTGTGAAAAAGATGACAGTAGAATAGGTTGAGAGAGAAGAACTGGAAGACTTTTGTAAGAACCATGTGATATTTACTTGGGCTGCTATGTAATGGACAGCCAATATGCAAGATATGATATTCTTTTACAGTGTGACACATGAGAAAGATGCTCTTCATACAAACAAAATAATGAATTCTGAGAATTTTTTAAACTCAGGTAGGTATGCATTCCTCCATCAGAATCTCTCATCTAGTAAGTTTTTGGTTTTGTTTTTCTAAGTAATAAACTTTATTTGTTAGAGTAGTTCTATGTTAACAGCAAAATTGAGCAGAAAATACAGAGATTTACCATAAGTACCTTTCCCTGTCGCTTCACACCCACAACCTCCCCTATTATGAACATTCTAGACCAAAACAGACCCTGGTGGATATTTTAAGATATGTAAATACTACCCAAGCACACTTTAGATTACCTGTAACACGACAGAACTGTGGGTATTGCTGGTAAAGATGCGTGTAGTTCCTGCCTTGGAAGACTGCAAATGGGAAGAGAGGCCCATTTCGCTGCTTCCAAGGGACAGTTTCATATGTTGGTCTTCCTCTTCCACAAGAGATCTGAAAGTTTTTTAAAATCAGAAGGAAAGGCAAATTAAAACCTGTATAACTCACAATAATGTTATTATTTAGAAAAATAATCACTATTGCCAATCACCTGTCTATGGAATGTGCTGGTTTGTTTTACTGTATTTTAGGCTCATAACACTTCATATCACAGAAGAAACATATATTTGTAAAATGCATTCCAAGGACAGGAAATAAAGATAAGAACTGAGGAATCAATTTAAAAGACAGCATGAAATGATAATCACAAGTTTTTCTTGCCATAGTATTACTTTTGGTATTTTACTGTTCAGGTAGCAATTAAATTTAATTTGAAACATTGCATTTTCGAAAGATAAAACCAACAACTACTACTTATTAAATAGTCACTATGCCAATAATTTGATATGTTAGCTCATTTAATTCCTAAAATAATGAAATGCAAGGGGTCATAAGAAAAAGTGCAGTTAAGAATAACATATTTAGGGTCACAACATTAATAAAGTGGGTGGGTCAGGATTTGAATCTAGGTTTAATCTGATTCCAACTTCAAAGCTCCCATTAAGAAAAACCAAAAGTTAAGTGTGACATATTAACATATTGCTTCCTCTTCTGGTATTATTAATAGCTTTAATCAACTTCAGTTGAACAAAACTTTACACAAGAAATAATTTCTTTTTCTAGCAGTATCTCATTTATTTTGGGACCATTTAGCTAAAAGACATTGCTAATAGCATTTTCTTTTTTAACATTTTCATGCTGTCAAAGAAATGAAAAATAAATGAATATAGGATATCTTCATATGTAATGTAACAATAATTTCTTCAGGGTCCATAGAAAGGGTGGAAGAACCTGTAGTTTGCAAGTCACTTAGACATCCAGAGAATGTGACAATGTATTTGATAAAGGGTTACAATAAAAAGTGCCCATCATGGAATGATCATTCATTACTATTTTGAAGAGGTTGGTGTTTCCTTAGGTATACATGACTAAAATTCTTTCCAGATATCTTGCCTAACATCAGAGAGGCCATGGCTTTGAACTCAGTTACGGCTATTAGGGGAGACAGAAGACAATAGACCCCAGTATAGCTCATTTTCCCAATTGTGCCTAAATTTTGACTTAGGCACATTTCTAAATGGACTATTCAAGATCATAAATGTTTCATATTTTCCCAATAATATCTATAACCTGAGCTGATCAGCTTACAAAAAAAAGAGGAATATTTTAAGGCTACATCATACTTCATGTAAAGATCCTGCTTTTTTAATACTGAAACCCAACAAATCGTTTTAAATCCTGCAATAATTAGCAAAAGCTCTGGCCTTAAGGGTGACATCAATTCTTCTTAATGATATTAGAGCTGTAGTATAACTGAAAATGAATTAATAATATATAACCATGTTTTATTTAACTTTCATGGATATTTAATAAAGAATAATTTAAACAGGATTTTAACAAGTATCAAAGAAATATACTTACACTAGAGTTTCAGAAATGGCTTTTAAAAGTATCAAATGTCATATACACACATATGTATGTATATTTATGACATATAGCACACACATGCTCACATGTACTTCTTAGTAACTTTTTTGGACAGACATTTTAAATTACTGACTCAATTGGAGCCATCAGAAATATACTGATGGTGCGCAAGGTATCCCTCATCAGAAAATTTCTATTCATCCAGAATTATTTTAATAGAACATTAAAGCACAGTGTTTTATTAGTTTCTGTATTCACTACACAGAGCCTGGCATGAAAGGCTTTATATATATCCTGAATGAATAAAGAATTTCATTTCTGTGGATCATTACAAAGATATTTCTTTATTTTACAGTGCTTAAATAACCATCATCATTTTTAATAAAAATGCAGATGTAAAAAAGGACAAGAGGAGAGCTGAAACTACATTGTCCTTATGACACAGCCTAGAATTTATTTTTTAAAACTAACTATAGATAACCACATGTTTACTTGTCTTTTGCTCTTAAAATTGACAAGTAGAATGTGAAAAAAAACGCAGCCTTTCTTGGCAATATAATATGGCTGGCTTTCTAACTAATTACTTCAAAAGCTGAAGAAGCCTTCACTAAAATCATCCTCATGACTTTTTGCCAGTATCCTTTGACTTTTTAACATTCAAAACACTCCCTATTATTTCTGCATCAGTAGCAGTACATGACATATCAACCTTCTTAGCAGATTCAATATGCCCTTCTATCTCGTTTTCATTAAGGTTATTGACTGCGTGCAAAGAGCATTGTTTAATATTGCAAGGAGGCAACATCTCTCTGCAGGCCCCAGGCCACAATTATATCAGACTATGCTTAAAGGAATAATTATCTGAGTAATTCTAGAACAGAAACTGTTTTGAAAATATCCTATTTTTCACATCATATAGTTAAAAGCAATATAGTATATGCCAGTGGTTTACAATGGGGGGAGGAGGAGTGGAAGGCATTTTGCCACCCCCAACCCCCACACATTTGGCAATATCTGAAGATATTTTTCATTGTAGCAACTTGGTGAGAGGCAAATAATTACCATAATCTCTTAGGATTCTACTAAACAGCCTACACTACACAGGACAGTACTGTATGTCAAAAATGAACTCAAGCAAAAATGTCAAGAGAGTCAAGGTCAAGAAATCCTGATATAGGGAGTCTGACTTCTTGAAGAAATGTTCCCCAAGCAATTTCTTTTTTTTTTAATGAATCACATCCAATTTTATTTAAATTCTCCAAAATTTACACTGAACATTAATTGCTTTTAAAATGTATATTACCCTTCATATAATGGTTTTATTGTTTCATATTTTTTTCATGTTTTCTTTACAGTTCGTCAATAGAAGCCAGAATCCTGGGTTGCCCAGTTAGGAGCCTCTGACTTTCTATTCTGATTAAGTTTCTTTTCAATATTCATGGCCAACATCTGGCTTCTAAAAGAGAGGCTTTTAGTCTTTTCAATCACTTGCTGATAGGGTAAGACTGCATTGTTACCCATGACCACATGACCTAATTTAGAATCAATCTTGGCATCCAGCCTCACATTTCTAATCAAATTCACAATCCACCTTTTCTGCTTCTTCTGGAGTCATGTTCAGTTTATCTGCCAGCATGTTAATGCTGATACACTGGTGGATGTGACAAAAAGTCTCAAATATGAAGAGAGGAGCATTTTCAATAAAATCCTCATGGCAGGCCACCAAAAAGAAGTCATTCACAAGCACTAATTCACATTCCCTCAGCTGCTTCTGAGAGCCATCAAAGCCAAAGTTAACATATAAGCATTCAACAAATTCTGCAACTGGGTCCTTTTATGTGTAAGACTCCTGTTGAATAACTTTTACTAGATCTTTTAGCACCTGCCGGCGCTTTCAAACATCTTTATTTGTTATGACTGCCGTGGTCAGATAGCAGAGAATATGTGGACATATTGTCTGAATTGCATTAAAGTACTGTGGCTGGTAAAGGAAGAGACCAATAATAGTATCTCGACCTTTGGGGTGGTTGAAAACAAAGAAAGACTAGTGGATGAGCCACATTTGCTGCTGAAGGGAATGGAGTGGAGAACTCACAGAATTGCTATCTATAGTCTCTTTTAAGCAGGTAAGGTCTTCCATGGCTGCATCCCAATTCTGCATTAAGATTTCAGAGGCCAGTTTTCCCCAGAGAGAACTTAAAGCACTTCTATCAGTTGCAGGAACCAACACTAAAAAAGTGTAGGTATTCTGCTCCTGAGTAATTTCCACATTCATACTGGAATTTTGCATATCTGTAGAATGTATGTAAATATTCTTGTCTAAACCCATGCTTATCTGCCAGGTAGTCAAACTGCATCTGACCATCCCTGGTTGACTGCATTTGCCTAGCAGCTTGTGGATCTTCAAACATTTTCACAATTGGTTCTGTTTCTGCCTAAAGTTGTTTCAGCTGTGTAACAACTGTGGTTCTTTCTTCTCTCAAAGCATGGGCAATGTCATCAGAATAAAGGTTTTAGTGAACATCCATCACAGATCAACCATGTTGGTATCACTATAAGAAGATCCAACTTCTCTTGTAATAATTCTTTCTCATTATATATCTTCTTCACAGAGAAAAACTCCAGGAGCGGGAAGACCAGGTGCCAGTCCAAAAATTGTGCAATGCACATGGTCAGGTCATGCTACACCCTCTTGCTAGAGGAGGGGGAGTCTCCCCAAACAATTTCATGTTTTAAATAATTTCCAGATCTTCCAGTTGACTTTATGAAGTAATGTTAGCAGTCTAATAACACAGGAGAATTATTAATCAGCACTAACTTTTCTAAAGCTACTTAATAGACTACCTTGGCTCTTCTCAATGCCCCCCCATAAATTTGAAAAAGGACTTACTGTGGATAATTAAATAATGGCTTCAAAGTTTATAAGACAATTACATAGTAAAGCTTTTGCTTTATATAAGCTCATGTATGTACAACTATTTCTTAATTCTGCTTGAAACAATTATAACTGGATTCATATTTACAAACTAAGAATCTGGTGAAATATATCTAAATAGTCACATTTCATTAGTGCTACAAAATTATTCAGGAGAGAGACTGTTTATCAGTTTTCTTTCTAAAAATTAAATATCTCTTTTTCCTATACATTACTGTCTACATATTGCTGCCAACCCACACATGCCCATTAACACATCTTGTGTTCAAAAGAATGATCAACCACATAGCACAAATGCAATCTTTCACAAAGTGTGCATGTATCAGTCCACTGTGCTTACTCAAAGAAAACAATTACTTTTTAGAAAAGGTTTAGAGAAAGATGCACTGTAATCATTTCATTGGGAGCACTGCGAATGTAGTCAAACTGAACATATACAGACTATGGTATTTCTTTGCACCCTTGTTTGAAGACAAAGGGAAAAAAATGCTCTAAGCACTTATCATATGTTAACAAAGTCATGTCAACATTATAACCTTGCCTCCAAATTTCCATTTTTAAACAATTACCCCAAGGAAAACATATGCAAATG